CTCATGAAAGTGGAGATTAAGCAAACACAAAGCATGGAAGAACCACAGCCACACAGCAGAACCATGGCTGTGCAACCAGAGAGCCAAAGCAGCTAAGGGGACATCCTGCATTCTGCTAAGCCAGCATTACGAAAGTGGTGGTACATTAGCTTGACCAGAGGCTGCCCTAAGCATGAGCGTGCTCATGCAACATTTCATAGAAGAACCACCACACTGAGCAGGGACAGACATTTCATAAGTCACAATCCAAGTCTCAAAACAGGATGGAGACTGCAGGGTCTCTGCTTCACAAGAATAACTGTGCCCCTCACACATCACCCTGGAGAGACATCAGGGCTTGGAGAAGACAATGGCAGATGTGTCTCACTGCCAGGTCCAGACTGCAGGGAGCAGTGAGAGGGGACAAGCCAGGAGCCAAGGGTGACCCCAGCACAGGCAGTGTTCTCACCAGTGAGGGTCTGAGCATGGGGGGCAGAGCCAGGTGCTGGTAACAGGGTCCATCAAGGGTCCCAGACACAAAATGAGGACCAGGATCCATTTGGAAGGGTTAGGGGGCATCCATGCAGCAGCAGATGGGGACAGAGACAGGGCTACAATACCAAAGGGTCCACCCAGCCAGGAGACAAGATACCTACAGCATAGGTCCAAGGTCTATTCAAGAGACAGGGCCAGAGCCAGGACATCAGACCAGTACTCTTACAACACATCCAAAGCAGGAACTAGATGCTCAAGCTCAAGCTTAAATGGGGCTCCTGGGCCTTGGGCGGCAGGATGAGTCCATCCACAGGTGAGGCTGGTCAGGGTGATTAAGGCCAGTTAGTGCCCTCAAGGCCGGCCATTGTGCCCTCTGATGGTTCCTGTGGGGATGTGAAGGCATGGAGGTGAGCATGTGTGGAGTCCCAGTGACTCCTTGTTCTCATAAGGTCAATCAAAACATCTGGCTAACAAAGTAGTGGAGAAGGTTTGCACTGATGTGGAGTTGGAAACCAAAGATGTGGGTTAGCAAAGAACCAGAAGGGGCACACCATGACCATGGGCCCCCCCATCTCCTGTGGGCTGGGGGGGGAACCTTGAGGCAGAAGCACGTGTCTTGCACACTAGGTGCAGAAGGCAAGCCTTGTCCCACCTAAGCATGATGGACTTGGCATTAGTTATCTGCTGGACCAAATTCTACACCTGAGGCAACCCATGGATCTCCAGGAGGAGCATGGGAAGGTGCATGGTTGGACATCCTTCACACAAGGTCTTTCCTTGCACTGTCAGACATAGAGAAGCCAGGGAGTAGCAGCAAAGCTGGCAAGCGTGTGATACCAGCCGGCCGAGGGAGTGGGCATCCAAAAGCTCCCTCGGTGCTCCGGAGCCACAGGCCCCAAATGGCCCCATGCCAGCACTTCCACTCGCTCTGCATGTCAGAGATGATTCATCACTGCTGGGGCTGACTTGTTTACACAGCCTCCCCCCTGCTTGCCCGCCCTCTCCCCATAACATAGAGGAGAAAAGAAGTGCTTTTCTTTCCACAGAACTTTTTATCCCCAAAATGACATTTCTGGCCTGGTGATTCATCTAGGAGAAGTTTTCACAGACCTTGCCATCTTTCTAGCACACTGGTGGTGCCGGAGGATGGGGCAGGGTGGCCATGTGGCACAAGGCTGGGGCATGGCTGGGATGAGGGCTCCTGGGATGCAGGGGAGATGCTCGTCCCTGACCTTCTTGCTCCTTCCAGCTCCCCACTCCAGGCAAGACCCTGGTCATTGACTCTTGTACTGCATTGCCTTTCCCACTTCTCCTCCCCAGCAATAGAGAGGAGCACAGAAGGTCAGGCCCAAGCCCTGGCTGGGGTGGGAGAGGTCCTAGCTCAGCCCTTGGCCTCTTGCCCCCTTACAGAAGAGACTTGGATCATAACATTTGTTTTCTGTGGGTTGCAAAGAACTGACTGTTTTTTCAGTATTGCCTTAGCAGGATGGGAAATGCGACTCCCTGTGAGAAAATATACTCCCTGCAAATTTTTGGCAAGACGGAAGACCTTAAACAGTGAAGAGGTGGAGCAATAGCCCAGCCACATCAGCTGCGCTGGCCTTGCCATCTCTCAGCAATGCTGGGATCCCCCCCTGTGATGCTTAATCACATGCATTCATCTCCGCACCTCTGCAGGGACCAGGCTTGATCACTCAGCCCAGGGCTGAATTCCCTGAGGACAAGAGTTTTTAACATAAGGACTTTATTACTTTTACTTCTAAAAAAAGGTACAGAACATATATCTCACGCACAGACTCATATATACTCCATACACAAATGAATCAGTTGCTTGTAACAGCACTGTGCTCTACAGAAAATGACATATTAAGCCCCAGGAACCAGTGGCACCCACAGGCTCCATCCTTCTGCACCAGCATTCACCTTGTGCCCTCCCAGACTGCCCATCGCACAGCATAAAGCAAGGAGGAACAGTGGTCCCCCCCATCTGCTGGGTTTTAATTGCCCCCCATGAAGGGTGCAAGTGCCCTGCCTGCTAACAGCCTGGAAACAGGAGAGGGGAGCAAGGCAAGCACAAAGACAGATCCAGGCTGAGGGAGCAGCTCCTCCTGATGAGCACCAGCATGCCCTTGGCAGCCGGGAGACAGTGGGAACCATCTGTAGAGCTGAAACAGGTGTTCTTACAAATACCATGGTGGGACTCGAAGTGATCAGATCTGCCTGGTGCACATTCATCTCCCCAGCATTGCTCCAAGCTGAGTGTAGCCAGACAAGACAAGTGTCCACCCCATTTGCTGCAGTACCTGAAGAGTGATCCAACTCCCATGGACATGCACAAACCGTCCAAGACCAGCAAGAAAATGCACAGTGTTTTCCAGTGTTCCCAGGAAGGTCTCAACTCTGCGATGCTCCAGTAGCAAGGACAGGACATTACATACATTCAAATGGCTACAAAACTTTACTACAAAAATAATATTTCTAGTGTTTCATATAAAAATAATGCCATAGTACACCGCCTCACAAACTGCAAGTCCACAAACACCAGCCATGCACAAACAGAGCAGATGGGGAGGCGGTGCTGACAGCCCCTGATTTACCCTCCAGGTAAATCAACCCCAGCCTGTATTACACAGCTGGGCTGCATGGGAGTGCTGCTGCATAAAGAGAGTTTCACCCCAGATTCCTAATTACAATTAATCTGATTGCATTCTGTACTTGCAAAGCCTGAGATGAATCCCTCGCTCCCCTCTCTCAAGTCAACAAAAAGCAGAAATAAGGGATTGAATGATGGCAGAAAACAAACACTGTTGCAGTTAAACTCCCCTAAACTCCCCACCTCCAGGGCTGGATGCATGCCCTGAAAGTGAGATCTGATGGATCTAACAGGCCACCTTCCTCTAGCTCTGCTTTACAGCTGGCCCATCATTTTTGCTTTGATTATCTTGCTTATTATGCATTTTTGCTCTTTTTTTTCTACATACATATTTATACTTTGGGATCTGATCCTCTGGGGTTGGTTGGAGGCGGATCTGACCCTTGATACGTGTCTCTACCTACAAAGCATCGTATTGTGAAGATCTTTGCACGGTCCAGCAAAATTCATACTGGAGCCAACTTTTAATAAGGGCTTGCAGGAGCTGACCACAGATAAAAGATAAGGCTTAAATACAGCAATGTCTAGATGTGTAAAAATCAAAACCAACTTGGGTTAAAAAAAAGCCTGGTACTGTTACGGTGCTTGAATAGCCTGGTGATCAGTGCTGTACAAAAAAGAAAAACTAAAATGTGGGTGAAGTGTAGGACCATGAACAGGCATTTTGTGCTCAGCAAATGTGCTTGTTTCTAGAGAGAATATGGGACCAGAAGGATGGTATGTCTGCTGTGGTGGAGTAATTCCTACATGATTCAATCCAGAATTGCATTTAGCTCCTCCAAGAGAGTATTTCCTGGGTTTTGTGCTTGCAGAGAACAGGAAAAACCCTCCAATGTTTTCACAGGAAGAGTAAAATTATTAGGTGACTTCTTGTTTTCTCCCATTTGCAAAGGCTAATCCACATTATCCTGCCCTGGTGTCAGATGCAGCTGGATACGGAGTGCATCAGCTGGCAGAAGGGTTTTATTGCAGTTGATTTGCCAAGAACCAGGTCTCATACTAAAGCTGCAAGAAGAAATGCCCATAGCTGTTGGAGAGAAAGGTGGCCTGATTTCAAGGGGGAGATAGATTATGGGTTGCCAGCTCCTCTGAATGTGAAATCTGTAGCACTGACTTTCAGTCCCCTAATCGGATGCAGTTTTCATCACCTCTGTCTGAAAAGGTAGACTACCCTTAGTGCCTCCAGTGAGAGTAAACAGGGTATTTGATCAGCCCAAGGAGAGCCAGCACCCAGCTGACCACCAGCATCAGTCTTGGTCTGACAGAGGTGCAAAGAAAGAAGCAGCAGAGAGTTTAAGTGCAAATTTTGATGTTACGATTGCTCAAGGTGGCTGAGTCTGAGTCTAGCAGCATGGGTGAATGGGTAGCTTCTTGGCTGGGCCATGATGAAACACAGAAAAAGTCCCAACAGCAATTTGGAAATTCACTTCTGCCTACCACCTGGCAGAGAGCCACCAAGCAGCTCTAGAACAGCAATAGCATTTGTTCATAACAGTGCCAGAAAGAAAAAAAGCATCTCATTTATTTCCAAAATACCGTCACTGGTCAATGATGACTTAGATATAATTTTGGACATTCTGCTCTGAAAAAAAAACTCTGGTATTTTTTTCCCTGCCTTGCTTCATACTGGTCACCAGTTCAGCATAAACTTAGCTTTCCTGCACCAATATAGAATCATAGAATCATAGAATCGTTTAGGTTGGAAAAGACCTTTAAGGTCATCCAGTCCAACCATTAACCTACACTACCAAGTCCACACTAAACCAATCAAGGGTAGACTAGACTAAACCATGTCCCAGAGTGCCATGTCTACCCGTTTTTTTGAACGCATATACATATAGCTTAGGTCAAAAATGTCCACGCCACAACACATTCAGATTACTTCCATTGGATAGACATTGTTTTGATGTCCCTCCTTCTGGTAAAGCAAGCCCTGTACCATTTCTCCTGACATTTTTTCTGTTTTGACTCCAAATTTTAGATATAGCCATACAACAGCAACACTGCAAGCCATCAGACCACCTACCACAGAAACTGGGAAGACAAAGTGCATTTGAGATCTTGACAAGAAGCTGGGAAGAGGCAGATCTTTTGGTCTTTCTGTAGTCATCTGCACTCTGGCTTGGCTTGAGAATGCTTGACTAGTAAAAACTAATGTATCTGAAGGATCTTGCTTTCCTACAGGCAATGAATAATCAAATGTTCTGGTACCAAAAGCATCTGCAGAGGAACTGACAACCTTGTTGATATGGACAGAAGGACCTTTGTCTGTGGCAATTGTGGGGTTTAGAGTAGAAACTGAAGTAGTCTCTGGTGGAACTGGTGCGGCTGGGACTGTGGTGATCTCCCTGCTGTCCAGGATGGAGGGGACATCTGAACTAAAGCTGCTAGAAGCAGTGTCTGGTGCATTGGCTCTTGTACTTGTAGGGTCCAGGGATTCATCTGTAGAAAGTATAGGATGGTCTGATCCTTTAGTAATGACCATGGGGTCTGAATTTGAGCTAGGAGAAGTTGCATCTCGAACATCAGCCATAGCATTTACAGTATGTCCTACAGGTTCTTCTGTAGATCCTATGGCATTTTCAAAGCCATGCACAAGAGCTGTGGGATATGGGGTGGGCTGGCTGGAGACCATGCCTGCTGCAAAAGTTGTTGAAGGTGCAGGAGATTTTAAGGAGTCTCTGTTTGCTTCTAGAGTGACTTCAGAGTGGGCAGCAACTTCCCATATCATGGGGGATGATCCTGCAAGGACCTGGGTGGTGTCCTGCATGGCTGGTGAGGACTTTCTGGACACCTCTGTCCTGGCAGCAGGAACATGTATTCTCTCCAAAACTGTTGTGCCACTCCCTTGGAAGAAACTAGTTGGAGCAGTCGCTTGAGATGGAGCTGTTACTGTAAGACCAACATGGCTGGGCTCTGCCAGCACCGCTGCTGAGGCGGCATCACGTGGAAGTGGGGAGGCTGCAGCCTTTTTCTGGTCCAGTTTCTCTACAATCTTCTTCACCCACTCTGCCTCTGGATCTGTACAAATCTCCACAGACTTCAGAGTAATAAGTCTGAAAAAAAAAAAAGGGATCACTTACTGGATAAAGAAAACACTGGTTTAAATGATCACCGTGATAGGGAAGGCATGCAGACAGCAACACTGATTCTCCCAAGCCCATAGTAAACACCACTGTGTTGGACAGAGTATTTATTTCAGGAAGGTAAGGTGCCTCTGAGATCTGAACATGACTTATAGGTGAAGGGTTTCCCCTTAGGAAGTTTTTCTCTTTTGGAAGCATTGTCCTGATGTTTGGATGCAGTGTTTACCTCCAGTGCTCAGAGCAGGGAGCTTTGCAGGCACCAGCTGCCTGGGGCAAGCATCCATGAAGACAAAACCCTCTGATTTACTGAGTGAGATGACACTTTCCAGGGTCAGCCCAACACGTTTACTTTGGAGCAACCTCCTGGGCTGCAGTAAAGTGGTCTCGATAGTGCCTCACCTCCAGGGTAAGTCAAAACCAACAATTACTCTGGGGGGAAAAACACAGTTTTTCTTATCCAGTCAAGCTCATGAGTCTGAATTTCCTTCCACAGAAACATGTGAGCTCTCACCCTGCATGCTTCCACTGCCCCGTTCTGCCAGCATGTATGTCTGTCAGTCCCTTTCCCCATCCCTTTATCCCTGTCTCACTCTCTGAGCCCCTAATCTCACTTGGAGGCTGTTGGTCTTTAAACAGAGGAAAACCCCCACCCACCTTTCAAATAAATACCAGTGTTCACTGTGTTTCCAGATTGCTCCTTGCTCCAAAGCAAGGGCATTTGCTGACAGGATAATGCCTAATTGGTGTTGGAAGGCGTACAGCAAGGGAGGCAGGTGGTGGGGCAGTGCTTACATGATGGCTTGTTTGGTGCAGCGGGGTTCAGTCCTGCGGTAGCTCCTTATCCGCTTTGCTGCTATCCCAGATGTAAAATGGCTGCACTCTGTTGAACACTTCAGATGTGCTTTGGGTTGCCCTGAAATAAAGTTTTCAATATATTAAATGTTAGCTTTCTATTAGGTACTATAAAAAACAGCACTTTTTCTTTTTCTCCTTCTCTGGGGAGAACGAGTCCAAAGCTTGCCATGGAAGTTTCCAATCCCTGCTAAAATAAGATGAAGACAAATCCTGTCAGGGCCACAATTGTTTGTATCGCCCAAACAGGTGAAAAAAAAAAAAAAAAAACCAAAACCAAACCTGCAAAACAAGCACTGTGAAAATTGCAGGGCTCTTGGAACACTGTTGCAGGTTGCCTTATAGGATGTGCAAGCACTGGCTGGAGGTCCTTTGTGCAAGCACCTGGACCTGCAAGTCCTCTCCCCTTTGGGTCACAGGAGGACTGCTCTCAGCACAGTGCTGGGAAGACACATTTCTTCATCACCAAAAGACCTGCTGCAACCGTCACCAACGGCCTCTTGGTGCGGGCAGTGCAGATCAGAGGGCAGGATGCCTGTCCTCTCCTTATCTGGATCAATCATATCTCTTCCTCCTGTGGGAGTTCCCCTCCAGGTGAGCATCCTACCTCTCTGTTTCCTGATATGTGGTCTCTGAATGCCACTTGGACTCACAGAAAGGGTACGGAGAAAGAACCTTTTGGTGAATGACACATTGCTCCCATAGATATCTCAGCAGCCCAGCTTCGCAACACAGTTTCTCACTAAACATCTCTTTTCCATCTCCACCAGAAAATATGGTTTTCATTTTGCAAAGTGTAAAAATAAACCCCCACCTGACCCCTTCAAAGGGCAAAGCCAGTCACACCACTGGGGACCCTTCATTCCTGCACCTACCCCCAGCCTCCAAAACAGGCGTTTGTGAGGGGAGGTTGCACAATGCAGCCTGGCAATTTGTTTCTGACATCCCAGGGGGCAAGACCTAGGAAAAACAAGCCCTGATTTATCTGAGGACCCTTGTGAAGAAAGGAGCTGGAGTCTGGTTTAGATCATGCAGTCTCTACAAAGTGTTGTCTCAGATTCCCAAATGAGTTTCGTGAATTTGATGCAGTTCATTTGGGAATGATCCAGCCACCGAGTGCAAGAATGAGCATCGCTACAGGAGCACCCTCAGTTCTTTTGATCCATTTACTGGGGAAACCCATGATTGCGAAGAAATCCCAAGCAAACAATCCTGTGGCCCCTCTACAGAAGCACATTTCAATCTCTAGGTGTCTGTAATGATAAAGCAAAACACTTTGTTCAGACAATAATGTCTTCTGTGGCACTTTAGGATCAAGAATTACCCGCTCAGGGGCGACCAACTTCCCAATTAACTCTCATTAGCCACAGGACATACTGCTGGTGTCCTCCACTTTCAGGACCACTGTTCAACAAAACAGGCACAGCAACAAGAGGGACAGATCCATCCCTGTGAACAGGTGGGGAGGTGCGTGGCAGGGAGCCAGTAGGGACTGCTCCCAAAGGCCCTCCTCCTCTGATAACCATCACCTGATTTTCCAGTTATTGGCACCAATGCAAATGGTTTGCAATGAGCTGAACTCCTGGTGTGTTTTTCCCAGAGTGGAGGAGCTTGGAAAGCACCTTCCAAGGAGAGAGTGGTGTCACAGGGAACACGGAGCCAGCCCTGGTGGTTCCCCTCTTCTCCGAGCAACCCACTTCTCCGAGCTGCATCTGAATCTTTGCCAAAGGGACCTCAGGGACACCTGGGATCTGGGTGTTTATCCACCTGGGACCACCACTCCTCAGAAGCACTGCTCCTGGGAGCCATCGGTACCTGCTTTTCAGCATGGTTCCTCAAGAGACCCTGGCCAGGGAGCACCAACAGCCTTTCTTTTTGCAGAGCCAGCCTGATTTCATCATTTTAGAGCAGATGGATGCTTGGCCACAGGTGAGCAGAGCCAGGCAGTGCTGAAGCAGGCAGCAGGTTCCCAGGTCAGGGTAAGCTGGCAGGCATCCCCATTGCCCACTTTACTCAGGCCAGCCCTGCAGAACCTGCCTGGAGGTGTGAGGAGAGTAAGAAGCTCCATCCCCAGCTGCCCTTCTTGCTGTCCTCACTCCTCCCATGTGGTGGCAGCAAGGCATAGTCTTAAGGGCTCTCCCTTCCCATGGTGGGAATAGATCATCCCTTTGTCCCGGGTGAAGTCCACCTTTGCCTGCACTGCTAAGAAGCTGGCTGCTAGCCTGGCAACCCACCCTGCTTAATTGCTGCCTCACTGATCTGTGCCATAGGCAACTTAAACCGAGACCAGCCCAGGGAGAGGTGCACACAGTCCTCTGGCCCGGCTCAGCACCACCCTGGAGCACGCAAAATCTTTATCCAGTGAACAGGAGAGCGTTTTCTACCTGTGCGTGCACACCCACACTCTGTGCACGCACGCGCGCACACACACACACTCTGCACAGGCACTGAAGCTGCAGGTGACAGCACCCCTCTGCCTCACAGTGATGTGAGCACCGGCATCCTCAGGACAGGGAGCCTGTGCAGACAGACATCCATCCTTAGACAGGCTGTGGTCTGCCCCCATGGCATGTCCCTGGGGGGACATGAAAAAAGGGGAAAAGTGCATTACACTTCTTTTATAATACGGATGATCAGAAAGTCTCTCTGACACTGACCACCTACCCTCAGGAGTGACAAAAGCCATCACGGGGCTGCTCAGACTCCCCTGCTGACAGGATTGCCACTGTAGGCTCCCCCTGCCCCTTCCCAAACCAAGCCTAATCCTGCTACAAGATCTCCCACAGCCCACGAAAGTCCCTTCGTGCCCGTAACCCAGTCCAACACTGCCTTCCCACACACACACACACTACACCAGCCCCTCGTGAACCTGTCTGCTCCACTGGGGATGCAGGGGGTGGCAAATGGAGCTGTGGCTCACCTCCAGCCAGGGTTGCCAGGCACAAGACCCTCAGCACAAACAGGACCTGGAGAGAAACAGCCTTCATGTTCCAGTGGTCGGCAGTAGGAAGGGCACGCAGAGAATGATTACAGGCAGTATTTTCCGCTCCCGACTGCTTATTCCATCCTCTGGAGCAGCACAGCTGCTGCAGCTCATTCCAGGACTATGAATCCCAGAGACGGGATGTTTCTGTTTTTCAGCTCCCCCGCATGCGTCTCAGGGTGACGACAGGAGGCGGAGGGAAAAGCGGGACAGGGGAGGGAATACCGCCTGCTCCGGAGCTAGACAAGTCCTGGAATTCCCCAGCTGCACTTATATCAGCTTTTCTTAGCACACGCAGAGCAGCTCAAGCCTCCTTGGCAAATTATTCAGGCAGGGACTTTCAGGAGTCAGCTGCTCCATCTTCCTTTCCCACCGATGTGTCTCTTGGCCAGACAGCCTGTGCTAAGGCACCACTGTCCTTAGGCTTGTGAAGCTCTCCCAACCTCCAACCTACAGCTCACTGATGCACATTAAGCTTATTATTTACCCCGAATGCAAAAGCAGCTACTCCCTTTTTGGCAGCCATCTTATGACAGTAGCGCTGGTTGTTAGGCCAAAAGAGGCAGCATTTGCTAATCAGGATCACAAGTTCATCAGCTAAACTGGTGAGCTTAGGCCAGGCTGCCTCTTAGGAGCACCACCAAAGCAAGGGGAGAGCGGGGACCCAGTGACTTCCCCAGCAGCTCCTTGTTCCCTGAGCCTGCCGTCTGCAGTGTGTGCTTGTTACTACATCCCTGGCATTCGGTATACAGCAGGGTCTCAGCTATCGGGGTCTTGCTGATGCTGACAGCAGCTTGGGGGCTTCCCAGCACCAGCACAAAGCCAGGTCTGAAGCAGACATACCAACATGGCAGTCACATCCTGCACCTTTACTTTCTCTTTCATCTCAGATCCCAGAATAATACATAACAATTTCCCCCTGCCAAATCCCTCACTGAAAGATGAAGATAAGATCAAGTCTGAGACAGCGTGGCTGCCTTTGAATTTTTTTTTTTCCCCAGAGTCATCTTAGGGCTGGTGGAAACCTGGCTTCTCTGTGCTGTGGGAAATTCCAACAGTTCCAGTTAGGATTTTATTCCTAAAGAGTGAAAATCCCCAGGTTTCCATATGATGCATTTTGAAAACATTTGGTGAAACTCCCAGCCTGTAATTTCAGCCTTTGCTTATATTGTACTAGAAGATAAAACCCATTTCAAAGAAATAAAATAAAAATTAAGACCTTGAAATAGTCTGTTTGATCCAGCCAGAACAGAACATGCTGCATCTGTTGGGACGTTTTCTGGCCCCTTCCCCAAACGGTGTTTTCTCAGGCTCAGCAGAGCCTTACAGGAAACCTTTATTCCAGGAACTGGCATTGCCTGAGGCCCCCACGCACTTTTGCTGCTGGAAGTGATGGCACAGCCCACACATGCTCACATCGCCACTGAAGAAACAGGTTCTGCTTCTTCTGCAAAGGGGTAACTGCCCACGGTGGATAAAACTGAGGAAGGGCTCCAGCATGCACATAAAGCGGGAGGGCAAGTGCTTTGTTTGCTAAAGGTATGACTTGCCACAGGCGTTGTTGTTTTAAGGCACAAACAGCACTTTGGCAGGGTAATGCAGCTGCTTTTCCTCTGCAGGCTGGGCTGGTGGTGTTTTACATGGTAGGGGACTCCTCCAGGATACTTTTGGATACCTCCCTTTTCTCCCAGTGAGCTCGGCAGCTGAATTTGGAGGTGGCATCTGCACAAGGAAATCCCGCAGCAGGAGGGTGGAGGGCAGCTGCAGCCTCAGAGCGGCTCCATGGGACACGGCAAGCCTTCAAGTGCCAGCAATGGTGTGGGTTTAAGCCACCAGCAAGCCCTGCAGTTCCCACCAAAAGTGGGACACAGGCACAGCAATCAGCTCCGATGGCAGTGGGCAGCTCCAATGAGTGGTGACAAACCTGGGCTGCAGCTGACAGAAAAGTGGCCTCATCGCTCCCAATCCACTTCCTATACCACCCTCCCAGTCCCATTGCACATCTGCCTCTCCAGCATGCAGTGCTAGCCTCTTACTGTACTTCTTTTAGGTCTTGCAGCATTGAAAAACCCAAAGTCAAAGGACCTGCTGTAGCCCAGGAGATATTTCTACTGTAACTAGCAATAAACCATAGGTGTTGTATTGATCTGACAGTGAAGGATCTCAGGATCTGGGCTTGTCTTGGCTTCAGCTGATTTCAGCTTCTTTAGTTACAATACAAATTGTCTAGGCAATTGCTGTTGTCTTAATTTGATTTAGTTTTGCTTCAGTTTCTAGGAATAGCAAGTAGTTATTCAGCATGAGCCTGGGACTGTAGATTAAATCGTGATGTGGATAAGGGCAGACACCAGCAACCCCAGTCCATAAGCATGAATCACAGCACCCAAGTAATGGAGTGTGCAACTCTCCGAGTCAGGGACAGACAGCTTTCAAGGAAAAAAAAAGAGCAGAAAAACTGAGTAACTGGGAACAAGGGAACACAGACTGGCTTAAGAAAATGTATGAAAATGAAACCAAGCAGACCAAGACTGAGGAGGAAGAAAGCCAACTGTGAAAATCATATCCTTCCAGTGAAGGCCATGAGCTGGGGTAGCTAATCACAGCCCTTCCCTAGTCTTCCTTAGGAGGACTGGAAGGAGGCTTCTTGAGGTTGCCCTTAGCACCCAAAGGCTCTCTGAAGCGGTGGTATAGCACTAAAGAAAAGCAGTATGTAGTAGGAAGAAGGTTAGTATTTTCCCCCATATAACTTTAACTGCAGCATGAATGAGGAAGGAGCTTAGGCTGATCTGAAACATGGACAAGGAAAAAACCATGAGCAAATGTACGTCTGTGCACCTGCTATCAAGTGTGGGCAGAGAGACCACGCACAGGGCACTGTGGACTGTTGGGGCTGGGCCACTGTGCACTGTATCCTCTGGGCCACCTAACACAGCTCCAGGTTTGATTCTCAGTACCCACAAAAGGACTCAGTGGCTCATGCCAGACAGTTCAGTGTCGAGGCTGGAGTCTGGGCTCTCTGGCTCCAGTTTGCACTCTGCTCTAAGGACAGTTTCATATAAGGATGGATGTCCTGCTACTTAAACACTGGCTCTGCTGTGGAGAAAAGGAGAACAAGGTCTGGTGTGAACTGGATGTTGGTGACAGCACAAGGCATGCTCAGAAGCCTGATCTGATGCCATACCCCTAACCTTTGGTTGTTCACTGGCAACCATTAGCCAGAAGCTTGGCTTATTACTCCAAACCACAGATACCACGGACCAAAGGTACCTCTGCCCCATGAGAGACATGAAAGCAGCTCCAGTATTTCCCACCCACTGCAGCTTTGCCAGGGCTGTTCACAGGCAGGCATCCAAGCTGTGCACAGGGTCAAGGTCCTCGCAGGTAGAAGGAATGTATGACTAATGCCGGGAGAACTGCTCTTTAAGGCTAAAAGCAACTTGACCCTGCAAAGGCAATATGCAAAACAATATGCAAAGAGAACAAGGGCTGTGTCCTAAACAAACAGAAAATGGTCCCAGAACATGGCCCATCTCCAACAGGGTGTTTCCATGCTGAAAATTTATGCTGTGTGGCTATTCTTGGTTCTTTGTGCAAGAAGGACTATGCACTGTTTGTTACAGTAGGTTTGTCTTCCTGGAAATCAGGTGGTGACTGGAGAAAAAGGAAAAGTCAGTGAGACCTAGGAGGCTGTATGTGACCTGAAGAAAGAGATGCCAGAGCTGATCCAAAGAGAATGCTGATGAGTTCCACTGCATGGTCTGTTCAGGAGCTCCCAAGACCTCAGGAGTTGGTCCTCCTGGAGCAGGGAAGCCCAGAACCTCTGGTAGCAGATATTAGCAGATCAGCATCCTTTGCTGTCCACAATGTTGTCCATGATCTCCGTCCCAGAGGCCTGCTGGAAAGAGGCAGCCAGAACACTTAGCTTTTGAGAAGACCCAGCCGGTCTTGATGCTGCAAAGGAGACAGGCTGACCCAGGACTCCAACTCCAGATGTGTGATGAGATTCTCTTTCCCCTGCTAACAGCCCTAGCTCCGAGCTGCCTTGTGGCAGCTCATCCTTGCACTACACCCATCTCTCCTCAGCGGGGTTGGCAGCTCAGCCACCGCTCTCATACAATCCCCCTTTACTGCAGCCCAAGAGCATTAGACTCAAGGGAGCTAAAGCACCACCATTGCAGCGGAGCTTCCACACTCACCAGAACTGGGGTCCTCCAGTTTCTCTTGAGGAGTGCACATGCAGCAAGGTCTGTGAGCCAGGACATGGGAGACTGATGGTGCATGTACTGCAGATGAGGCCAGTGTGTGCAGCCAGTCCCTGACATGTGGGATCAGATTCCCAGACTTCAATCTGGAGAAACCGCAATGCTTTTCCAACAGCATGGCATTGGGTGGTATGGCCCAGAGCAGTCCAGAACTGACTCAACCACCTCCTCTCTCCCAGCCAAGGCAACCAGTGCCAGACTCAGGAGATGGTTTCTTAGAGCTAATGGTGGCCTCTCAATTTTGGACATGCCCTCAGCATATGCTTAATGTAGAGCTCTTGAGCCATTAGTGTAGTAAGGGAGAGAATTAAATGACAAGGGATCCAGAAAAATCTGTTTGGCACTGCACGACTTTGAATTTTCTCACATTAAAGAAAAACGCAGGAAATGAGGAGCAGATGTCTGGGGCTGTCTGCAGCCAGCATCTCCACAGGGGATGGAACAACTCCTATTTGGTAAATATCGACCAGTGTGGGGCTTGTGTTTTTGAGAAACTGTTTTACATAGAAAACATTTTCAAAAATAGCAGAGAACATCACATAAACTTTCACTTCTCTGAACACAATAGCTTCCTCCTTCTTTGTGAGTAATACTTGGGGTCCAGCACACAGTGCAAAATGCTGATGCTCTGGTTTTTTCCATAGTGAGGCAGCCCACAGCTACTGGTCAGCATCCCATGTCAGCCAGGCTGCGGGATGTGGCTTTTCCCCTGGCAGCATTACATTTGAGCTGTAAGCTGATG